GTGGCACGGGGTGGAAGCTCGTGCGTCCATCGGAGCAGGCCGTGTGTCAGCCCCCAAAACACGCGCTGCCCTGCGCGCAGCTTTGCTGCTCTGCACGGTCAGGCTGACTGCTGGCAAGGCGGGAGCTTCCTGCTCTAGATTAGTCTGCGTTTTACTCACACTAATACTAATCTTTGATTTTTGCTGTGCTGCTGAAAATATCTTTTTCCTGTCAACTGTTTTAGCTTCACAAATGGGAAAAAAGGGGCGTGCGTGTGAGAGAAAACATAATCTTGGCCATAATATGATAACCACATAAATGAGCTCACATATATTTAAAGAGATTAGAGTTCTGCATTAACAGAAAACTGGGAGTTTTATTTTATTTTATTTTATTTTATTTTATTTTATTTTATTTTATTTTATTTTATTTTATTTTATTTTATTTTATTTTATTTTTCTTCCCAGGTGACAAGTTGGTTGGCACATTCATTTGATGACTTCTTTGGAAACACAAATACTTCTAGCACAGTCCCTGGGAAGGCGCTAGAAGGCGGCGCTGGGACAAACCGCCTCCAGAAGAAGCAAGCCCTGTCTTCTTTGCCAACAAGTGGCAAAGACAAGGATCTGCCCAGAAAACGGGCAAAGTCATCGTCAGTAGACTCATCCGGTAGCCGATCCAGGCAAAATCAAAGCCAATCTCAAGATGAGCCGTGGGTGGATAAATACAAACCTGAAACTCAGGTATGAGAACTATTCCAAGTCCTAGTGTAACAGTAAGATGCCACTACAACATAAGCATGTTATTTTCCCTTCATATACCCACTAACTGTTCCTAAAAATATTTCATTTTATTGGTTTGGTGAATTATTAGTTTTATTGAGTAATATATTGATACTAGATTTATTGATATTAATGAATAGAAAATGCACTTTTACCCGATTTGCTGAAAAAATAAAGCTACTAAGATCTTGCTTCCGGTTCATCTACTCCTAAACTTTTGTCAAATGATGTCCAATTTAAGCCACATCGGACAACTGCAAGTACGTGAATATCAAGGAGAGAACTGCAAGTTAGTGCACTCATTAAGGGAGAGATGACAGATACTGTCTTGCAAGTTATTTGACAGCAGCTAACTTGGCTCTCACTGGACTACCTGTAATTTGTGCTGTTTCTTTATTGCTTATGTGTCATCTTGAGCAGCCTGATATGCGCTGATGTTACTGTATTAGCTTAAGGTTTAAAGGAGAAGGAACACAAATCTACAGTTAACTTGGTTTCGTTATTCTACTTGGGCAGCAGCATTTGCATTTTGTGTTTTAAATATATCGGCACGCGTGCTAAGTATCTCAGGAAGCTGAATGCTTAGTGATTTGAGTGAGTTAGTGCAGTAACTTGTGTTTTGTATTTATTTTTTTAATAGCTCATCGCTGTAGAGGAAGTAAGTTGCTAGAATGCAAGCAAACTGCATGAAATGTGTACAAGCTCCAAAAACCTATGTAGTATTAAATTTGATATGACCTAAAAAAATGCAAGCTCCAACAGCAGCTATAGAGCGCACACAAAATCAGAGTTGTATTGTTGCTACTTTAGGAATGATAAATTGCTTGTTACTTCTCTCCTGCAGGCTGTGGAAAACTATAGTTATTTTTTTTTTCCACAGCAGCAGTTTGTTAGGCTGTAATGATTATGCTTAATTGTTGCATTTACTCCTGAATAGTTCATGTTCTGTTCTTGAATTGTGACATTACAGTCTTGGAAACCAAGAGGTGTGTGCATGTATATATGCATTTCATGTATTTTCATCTGGTTTTAGAATGACCTTGCTGTGCATAAGAAGAAAATTGAGGAAGTTGAAGCCTGGCTAAAAATGCATATATTTCAGAGGAAACCAAAGCAGGTAATCTTGCTAGAATTAGCCAATAGACGTATAAAACAATATATAACAAGATGAATTTAATTTTTCTTATTTCTGAAAAATCTTTAACTTATAGTCATTATATGTATTGCAGCATAAGAAATCTCTTAAGAACATAGATTAGAGCTTTTTAAATTTTATTTAGAGTTTTTAGTATTATGAGGAGCAGAGCTAGATTCTGTTCTTTGTTCAGCAGTATTGTCTGAATTGACTGTCCAGCCAATTCATACCTGTTCAGTGTGTGTTTATTAACTGAATTCTACCTTCCACGGACTAAGTAGCTCAGCAAATCTCCAGCAATGCTAACCTGATGTCATAAGACTCTTTAACTTCCTGAATGGTAGGAGGCATTCTTCTGCAAGTGTATCATTTAACAGTATCAAACTGTAGTTTTTAGACTGGATTCTTGAGTTCAATACATATTATATTGGTAGTCTGACTAGTGAGTAATTGAATGCATACCTTTTCCTTTTTTCTTTTTTTTTTTTTAAAAAAAGAAAAGGAAACAAGGCTTTCAGCATTCTCAGCTAGCCCTTTCTCTCAGAATACTCAACAGGTGTGTTAACACATTTTTTTTAAATTGGGAAAATAAATCACTGTTGCAGAAAGTACAAAAAAATAAATATTTGTCTTCATTCAACTTGTAGTCTTTAATTATCTAACTTGGGATTTTTGTTTGTTTGTTTCTGTCACAGGGTAGCTCTATTTTGCTGTTAACAGGTCCAGCTGGTTGTGGAAAGACTGCAACTGTACAGATATTAGTGAAAGATCTTGGTATTCAAGTGCAAGAATGGACCAATCCAACAACTTTAGACTTTACAAAAGAAGACATAAAAAGTATATTTGGCCATGGTAAGTGTTTTTTTTTTTTCCAGCTACTTTTGTGGGGTTTGTATCCTGTATTTTTTTGAATGAGTCCAAAAGTATGTAAGGATTTCTAAATAGTGTTTGATAAGAATCTTTTATTTTTGCTTTTGTCTGAAAAAAGGATTAATTTTTTTTTTGGAAGTAGTTACTCCCAAACAATATGTGATTCCCTGGCTTGAGAGTTTGTGGAACATGGGAATCATTTGAATGTTAAATAAAGATAAATAGATTAGAGTCTCTCTGATTTCATCCCCAGTTGTAGTCTACCCTTTAAAAATAATGATGTGTTTGTACTGTATTTGCCAAAGGATTTGGCTGCTGGTGTTTAATGGCTATTGTCAGAAAACTGAAAGGGTGGAGGATGTTATTTTTTGTGGGTTTTTTATATAGTACTTAACATAAAATAGGATACATATTTTTAATTAGTTTTCTTTTTCAGACTCAAATTTTCATACGTATCCAAGTCAGGCCCAAGCAGCTCTCTTTCAAGATTTTATTTTAAGAGCAAATAAGTATAACAAACTTCAGATGCTTGGGGAGTCCTCAGAAAATGATAAAAAGCTTATTCTTATTGAAGTAAGTGAAAACTTCTGCAATCTTGTTCTGAAAACAGTAAATCTTATTTTAATATTGACAGGCTAACTTGCTCCATCTAGTGGACTACAGTTGCTAAAAGATTGTCAACTGCAGAGGAATTCTGTGTTTCTGAGTCCACATAGTCGTCTAAAACCGATCTTATGCATAGTTAAACTATACAAGCTAATTGTCAGGCATCAGTTGGACACTGGTTCATGTACAGAAATAAGTAAGGGTATCAAAAATAAGTCAAAGCAATATTTAAAAATCATACTTATGTTTCTCTATGACACTTTCTAGAACTATGGATGTATGTTTTAAGGAGAAAGGAAAAGGAAAGAAATTATCCTATCATTATTTGAGGATGGAAGAAGTTAAAAGACAACTGAAAACTTCATATTAAAGCATTTGAAATTCACTATTCTGATTTTTTGTTTTGTTTTAGGATTTTCACAGGATATAGAGAGGTTTGTTTTGAGAGCATAGGTGTGAACTTTGAGAGTTCTTCAATCGTAACAGGAGGTTAGTCTTCTCTTCAAGAGAAGACTTGATTTTTCACTTATTTAGGAATTTGACTAGCTTTTCCCATTTGCTTTTTCATTTTCTGTCATATTAATTTTATAAATTATGATGATGAAGTCGTCTATCTACTTTCAAGAAACAGAATACCTGAGTTAGAAATTCTAGCCAAGTAATGCTGTAAAACTTAAGGACCTTGCATTTCCATGACTTCTGTCCATAAAGTCGCTTTCCTGTATAGATACTTTTGTATCTTAAGTATCCTACTCTTCCTAAATGAGGATGTTACCTTGAATGCTCCTTCTCTCTTCTTCTCCCCAGAATAAAACTGGCTAGCACAAAATGTAATCAAACAAGCTGGTTCTTCCATTAGGAAATGAGGATAGACATAAAAATCTTCTAAGATTTTTAATTTTTTAATCTCTATTTCTTCCCCTTAATAAAGAAATACTATGATTCTTTTTTCCTGGTTATCTTCAGTGTTAGCACCATTTAAATTTGTTTGAAAACAATGTACCTAGGAAGAAAAAAAAATTATAGCAACATAGTATGTCATAACAATCTTCTGGAGAGAATACATTTGAGTGACAGCAGTTCATTTATTTTGACTAGGACGTTCCTAACCAATTCTATCGAGACCCTAGCAGTCTACATGAAATTCTCAGGTGAGTTCTCAGTAAACTTTTTTAATGGCTGTCCTTAGCCACTGTCTGTAAACTGGACTTTGGTTCCTGACTGGACTTTGATTCCTGTTGTGCTTATTTTTCAATTTAGGAGATTTGTGCGTACAAGTAGATGTCCCCTTATATTTATAATCTCGGATAACTTCAGTGGAGATAGCAACCAGAGGTTACTATTCCCAAAGGAAATTCTAGAAGAGCTGTGTATATCTAATATTAGGTAAGAGCTTTTATCTCATTAAAACATGGTTGGATGAATGAGAAATTGGAAACTAATACTACTTTATTATGAATTTCAACAGTTTCAATCCTGTTGCACCCACAAATATGATGAGAGTTCTTAATCGAATAGCTACAATAGAAGCTACGATGGTAAGGTGTCAAAACTGGTTACTTCTGTGCAATGCTATACTCAAGAAACTCCAGGCTTTTATATCGAAAGTATTTATTGATAGCATGTTTTGGATTTTTTTAAAGGCCCCCAAAACAGAAATTCTTCTGCCTATTGCATACATATGAAACAAGTAACAGGAGTAAAAGTCATTTTCAGGGTATCTATCAAAGTTGGAAGAGGCTTACACTATTCCCAACCTCTTTGACTGTCACCAAATGTAACACCGGCAGCTTGCTATGAAATCTGTGTACAGTATTTTTCTTTGTAATACTGCTATATAAAACATGGCTAAATGCTTAAATAAAGAACTGGCGATATTAAGAGGTTTGAGGTTTCCTTATCACTTTGGGTGTTTTAAACTATTGCTTTTTTTTTGCAGAATAGAGAAAAGAATTATGCTCCTGATAAAACCTCTCTGGAGTCAATTTGCAGAGGCTGTTCAGGTGATATAAGAAGTGCAATAAACAGTCTTCAGTTTTCTTCTATGAAAGGTAAATATGTCTTTAGTGAAAGCAGATGACTTCTTGACAGCTTTTGTTGCAAAGGCACTTCTCTGTTGAAGCTCAGTTAAGCAAGCTGTGCAGAAGTGTTTCTGACTTACCGCTTTGGAGCAGGAATAAAAAGGACAAAGTTGTGGGGTGGGTTATTTGTTTGTTTGTGTTTGTGTGGGGCAATGGGGAGAGAGAGTGGTCTGAAGCTGAGTAGGTGGGGTTTTATGCCTGTTCACACATAATCTCAAAACTGGCTAATACCAATATTTTTGTGTGTATTGACATAATTTACCACAATGCCATTTTTAGTTCTTGATATTTTAGTTATCAGTATCCTTAGTGATTAAAGCTTTTATAATGTGATCTTAATTTGAAAGGCATGTTTTTATTGCCCTGTTCTTGAGTATTTGTGTCCCAATTTCTACATTCACAATATTTCTAAAATAGCAGATTGATTTGTGTATGGCATTGCTGAAATGATTGATTTTTGACAGTCTTTCAGAGCAGGTACATAGAAATGCTGGAAGATGGCATGAAGGTATCAAGGGTTCACCTTTGTGAAGTCTGGTCTTTTACTAGCTTTGGAATATTTAGGTGGGCAGAGTTCAAATGATATAGTTTGGGATTGTTTCTGTGTTTAAAATAATATTCTTATGTTAAAACATAGAAAGAATATGGGAGGCTTATTACTGTGTTTTCTGTAAACACCGGAAGGCCAAAGTTCTTGGGAAACTAGAGTGTTCAAATCCTGTAGCCCTTCCTAAGAAAATTTAGGTGGTGTCAGCATAAGGTTCAACCTAGAAATATGGAAGTAAATTTAGTTGACTTCTGTAATATACATAGATGTAAGACCCGTAATGATGTTGCATTATTTTGGAAATAGCAAGCTGTCATGTAAGTAATCTAAGGAAAGCTTAGTTACCTAATGAAGTCATCTAAGGAAAGCTTTTCTTCCTCTTGTATTTTAGCGAGGACATGACACAGATAGTGCACATAGTAGAGCTTGGTAACTGAAGAAAATGTAAGTCTGAAAAGACTTGCATGTATTTGCAACTGTGCTTTGTAATTTATGAAGGAAGACATTAAAAAGAATGGCAAGACAATGAAAAGAAGGGCAAGTTGGGTGCATCAGAGCTAGAATGAGTAAGCAAAAATGGCAACTTCTCTTCTAGAGTAGATGGTTATTTTCCAAAGAAGTACCTAGCATCTACATTTTTGCTCAGGTGGTGAAGGTGTAATGAAGCATCCTAATTTAGGTGACTGCACCTCTTTCCTCGTAAACTGGTTTTCTCTTATAAGACATTTTATTGTTTTGGTTGTTTAGAACATAAAAATGTTACTTATTATTGTTGTTAAAGAAATTAATGTGCTTTATTCTGATTATATTGTTTTTCTTGGTAGACTGCTCATTTGATTGCTCCTTTCGGTCAAGAAAAAAAGGGACCTCCACACTGAAATGTGAAACAGGAATATCTAAAGCAAGAAAGAAAAATAAAACAGATAATTTAGAAAATGAGGAGACACAAGCAATTGGTGGCAAAGATGCCTCCATCTTTCTTTTTCATGCTCTGGGGAAAATAATTTACTGCAAAAGTAAGAAAACCTCAATTTAGTCTTTTTCGATATGAAAAGAATGTTTCCTGCTGGAAGTCAGATTTGCTGAAGTCAAGCTATGGTGGGCTATGTTATGCCCTCCGTTGTTTGCATTTAAGTAATAATTAATAGTGTCAGTCCCAGAGTTAATTGAGGAGAAATAGTGAGATGAGAGAATGTGGAAATAATGGCGTGAGTTTTGCATCATGAGTGTTAGGAGTTGAAAAAGAATTTAAATATATACTTAAACATGTAAATAGTAAATAATAATATATACTTTAAATATATTTTAATTACATATATTTAAATAATATATGTTACTATTTATAATATACATGTAATTTAAATTATAAAATAGTTTAAAGTTTCTCAGGCCAAGTATAACTCGTTTTCTGTTCTTTAGTATGTATGTAAGTTACATACAAGTGTTAGTATGCAATGTTGACTGTATAATTACATCTGCATCAAGTATTTTTGAGAACTGAAAACCATGTAACTTGTTTTTTAGAGTCAACAGTAGCTACCAGTTGTCTTCCATATCTGTGAAAAATTACTGTTCAGACAGTTATACATCTGTTCTTGCTCCCATCTCATCTACGCTCTAAGTTAGAATATAAACATTTTAAATTTGTGTCTTTCTTCATAGTATGTAGTATAGTGTGTGACCTTATTTATAAGGTTGAAAGATTTAAGATTGTAAAATTTCCTGTAGGAGAGCCTCTGTCAGAATCAGAATTTCCTCAGCTGCCTTCTCACTTGTCAGAATTCCGTCGAGACGCTTTGCTTATCCAGCCTGAGGTGTGTTTTTAATAATTGCTCCGTTTAATTTTTTTTAAGTGATTAATACAAATGCTTATACATAGTGATTTTGTCATTAGTCTTAATATATGTATATTAAACCTGTCTATATTATAGAGTAGTTAAGCTGGATGTGGCTCTAGCAGGCCGCAGTAAAACTGAGATCTAGTGTGATCAGGTGATCAGTAAAGTTTTAATCAGTCCCAAGAACAGCGATTTCCCCTGCCTTGTCTGGACAACTTAAGGTGGACTTTTAGATTCTGCCTCCTTCGCCTATTCTTCCCTAGAAGCAAATCAGACTCCCTTCTGAGCTTAAGTGAGCATCAACTTGTCCATCCTGTGCACCAGTTCCCTAGCTAGCTAAATGTATCGTAATTTCTACTGGATACTTTTTCCTTTCACAGTGCTTACAATCTAAGCTGATCCTTTTCTTTATTAAATAGGAGATTGTAGAAAAATCGCATATGTCTGGAAGCATGTTTAATTTATACCTTCACCAGAACTATGTGGAATTTTTCGCTAATATAGATGATGTTGTGAGAGCCAGTGAATATCTGAGCATTGCTGATGTCCTTTGTAGTAATTGGAATGTAAGTGTCCTTTTCTATACATATATGTTTTCATACTCTAAAATTGAATTTCAAGATTTTTTTGTACGTTTTTATGAATAGTTGGAAGTATTTCTTTTATAAGTAATTGCACTGTTTTGCTTCTAACATACTACATTAACAGTAAGTTCTTAATTAATACTAGACTACATTAAATGTAGGAGCGGTACAGCCACTTGTGTACAGTTTATGTAACTTATTTTATTGTAATAACATACTGGTATACAACATTTATACAATTTTATAAAAATATTTTCTAGTACAATAAATTTATACTAAAAAATTATTGAATACTTGAGCTAGTTTTATCGTTCACTTGCTTTGAGGAAGCTTCACAGCGACTTGAGTGCATTCTGATCATGTCTGTGTGACCAAAATTACAGAATGTGCTTTTGTTCAAATAATGTCTTATTCTCAGTACAGAGATGATGCATATTCATATAATGATTATATTTTCATATAATGAATATGATTACTGATTTCTCTCTCAGTCACGACCCATGATGGAAAAATACAGTGCATCTGTGGCTACCCGAGGTGTGATACATTCAAATACAGGCAGAGCCTTTGCCCAAAGTCAGGGAGGAATGGGGTTTCGTCCTTTACACAAGCCACAATGGTTCTTTATCAGTAAAAAGGTAAATGCCTGATGTTTTGAGTGAAGTATTCGAAGTATTACACATTGCGCTCATTTCTTAGTGAATTCAGTAGTACGTGTGAAATTTGTGTGTGGTGCTAAAACCCTTATTATAAGCTGCTGCTTAAAAAAAATAAATGCTTGCAGAGGAAAAATAAATCAAGGACTTTTAAAAAAATCTGCTTCCTGTGCTGAAGTTAGCATATTTCTGGGAGAGTCCTTAGTCCAAGTTTATAGAGAGACAATTGGTGTTGAAATAAGGTGTTGCTAACAATAAGTTCAAGTTTGTACAGCTTAAAACAGTTTAAGCTGTTATATAAGGTTAATGAATTACTGCTCTTGTTTTATGTGTTTATCAAAAATACTCATTCACGAGACTTCCACTTTTTTTTTTTTTAATTTGAAATAATATCTGTCTTGCTGTGTCCAGCAATAAAAAGTTTGCCTATGTGGATAGGACATTCTGCAATCAAATGATAAATATATTCAGGAAACTTAATGTCTGACAAAAAACATAAATTAACATTTTTGTGATCCGTATATGTTAACACTAAGTGTTTACATCTTTTCTGGACTCATTCTTCAACAGCTTTTGTATAATAGTCCTGCTGCCAAAAACAAGATCACAATACTGATTTTTATGATGCAGAATATTTATATTAATATAAAGTTTATCATGCTATTACTTTTTTTTCCCCCTCACAACAGTATCAAGAAAACTGCCTTGCAGCAAAATCTCTCTTTTCAAATTTCTGTTTACCACCAGAGTGTCTTCAGACAGAGCTATTGCCTTATCTTGCTATGCTAACAAATCCAATGAGAAACCAAGGTAATGTCTGCACAACCCTTGCTCTTTATTTCTTTTTATCATTAAAGCATACTGAAAAATGTTTGTAACTGAAAATGTCAATGCTGTCTATTCTCCTCTCTCACTAAGAAAACGTGTTGCACACATATAACCAATATATGTTTTGGGTAACATAACTGAAAGTTTGAGCTGACCAGTTAGGTTGGAAGCAACTTTACTAGTATCTTTAAAACTTACTCATATTTAATAGTTTCAGTTGAATAACGTGGACAGGGTCCTGCGTAGCCTGCTGTAGATGATCCTGCTTGAGCATCAAGGTTGGACTAGGTGATCTCTAAAAGTTCCTTCCAACCTCGACTGTTCCCCAACTCTGTGACATCAGGATGAATTAATTTTGTAGGATATGTGCTAATAACTTGATATCATAAATATGTATGAATGATAGGGATTTTTTGTTCTGTGTATGCATGTATAAAAATGTTGTCATAATGTGATAAATAGATTTTGGATATATATATATTTGTATAAACTCTATGTATACAAGATAATGCACAGGACCACTTAAACTTACAAATAATTTATTTTCAGTGTCCTTATTTTAGTTGCATTATGATTTACTGGTGGTTCTTTGTGTCCTCAGCTCAGATTGCTTTTATCCAGGATGTTGGGAGGCTACCACTAAAAAGGCATTTTGGCAGGTAAGCTTCACTTTCACTGTCTTAAAAAAAACACTTTCTTTAGGAATATATTTTTTTAAAAAGTTTTCATGATACAACATCTCTAGAATATGTAGTGTCTCAGACTTCTCACAGTCAGCTTGATCCCTTTTTATTTTGAGTGTTGCTTTTTTTTTCAATTAAAATCTATTTGAAATGACAATATTAGCAAGAACAATTTAACTATACTCTTACTTTTAACCCCTTGGTTAGCTTTCTCTTTTCTTGTATCAAATACTAGTTTTCTGTCCTAAACATATGTATGACTATCAAGTGCAAAGTCTTTGTTAAAAAATTGCTTTTACGATCAATAAGACTTAAGTGAGAATTACAGTGGATTTAAACAATGGATAAAGCATACTACAATATTTGTTTATCAATGACATATAACATTCATCTGGAACTTCTTCTAACTGCATTAGTATGTCAGAGGTGTATCATTTAGTTTTATCTGGTGGATAACTTTTTTTTTCCTGAAAAGACTGTCATGCTATATTGTTTGCTTGCTATATTGGGGGGCAGAAAAAAAAATATGGGGAAATGTAGACATTTCAGTAAGTGCTACTTCCTTCAGGAAATTCTAATTCAAACTAATTTATTTTCCATTGTCATTTACTGAGCGTGTCTTAAAATAACCTTGGCTTCATAGATGTACCCTCCCCCATTTCAAAAGAAATAACGAAAATTGAAAATGAATGAAGTATTATCAGTGGAATAGGAATACTGCTGTAGTAAGAAAAATCATTAGGGAGTGCATATGCTATTTGTTCACTTGGAACTGGTGTCAGATGAGCCTTGATAACTTAGGAAATTTTTGCTAAATGTAAAGGCAGGGGAAAAATGTAATGGAACATTCGTAGCATCTTCATAAAGAGGTGTTAGAAAGATTGAGAATCCTACAGGCACATAGATAGAAAATTAAAGAATCTTTTCCATGCATTGCCTGCTCTTAGCTCTTCTGTCTCAGTTTCGATTGCTTCCTGTCCTCAGCTTCAGTTTTTGTTTGGAAAAGTCTAATAGATCATGTGATGTTGTCGGTAAGTTACTATTTAACAGTTCATCCCCGTGATGAAAACTAGGCAAAAACACTCTTGTAAGGAAGAAGGTTTAACAACAGATACTGGGGAGTGACAGAACATAAACATGATTCAGTGCTTTGCTGTGGACAGTCTGTCTTGAGGTTATGTCGTGCAGCCCGCTTTCCTGAGGGAAACGCATTTTGTACATTCTCAGGAGAGTTATGCAGGGCCGAGTTCTAGGCACAGATCTCTAATTGGAAGGTATGCACAGAGCTGTGAACCATAGTAAAGCAGCGATGCAAGAAAAGCATGTGAATGGCTTGGATTGGCTCTCATGAATGCGGGTTGTTGCTGTCAAACTATTCGAAAGTTGTTAAGCAGCAAAGGGCAGAGACTTGTACGCTCCAAAGGTTGTCTTTTCTATTGCAGTTTGATGCAAGATAGCTACCACAAAAAATGTTTCATGCGTACTGTTGCAATGCTAATTTTGCAGGTTGAAGTTGGAAACACTCACGGATAAAGATCCTGGAATACCAGATTTATTTGTTGATTATGAGGGGGACCTTGCAGCTACAAATGCTATGGAGACTACTGTGCAGGCAGAGCAAAACAAAACAAATGAGAATGGATCGGATGGATTTCCTCTTTCTTCCAGTCAATGCAGTGGAAATGAACTTCCTTGCAGTCAGCCTCAGCCTACTGCTGCTCAAGCAATCATGGAAGAGGATGAATTAAAAATAGAGGAGTATGATACTGACTGAGTACAAGAGAGTATCCTCTGACTTACTTGGATTAATCCGCTACAGAGGCCTTTGCTATAGAGGGCACAGTCAGTACAGGAGTATTCCTTCAACTACTTAAATGGGCTAAAAGGCCAAGTCTAAATACGTGTCAGCATCAAGAAAAGTCTCCTCAGCTTTGCCTTAAATTTGTGGGATCAGACCTGAACAGAGTAGCCAAAACACAAACTATTCTTTGCTTGTCCTGAGCCAGGAAACTAATCTATATTGATAAATGCAGAATAATGAATGTCAAACTGAAATAGTTTGAAAGAGACTGTAGATGAGCAGTGGGACTCTTAAGTTATTTTTTTGTTTCCTGAGAACACATTTGTTAAGTTGTCAACAGTTGAAGGTTTTAATAAAACGTATACCTTCCAGCAATTGCTCTTTTGAACTTTTTGAAAAAAGACACTGAAGTTTAAATGTAAAAATGTTTGATATGTGGTGTTGATGATGTAAATAAAACTTCTAATGTCAGTCACTGCTGAAACAGTGTTACACTCTACAACAACTTATTTTTATATGTGTTTACAAACTAAATCGCATATTGTACAATAGCTTACTATAGGTTCCTTGGAAAAATACTTAATAACCTACCACCTCTGGGACCTTCTTGCCCTTCCTTGGGTGCTTGTGAAAGCTAGGGCGGTTGGGGTGGCTTTTCCCTTCAAGTGCAGTTGTGCTGGAGGAGAGAATAATCATAGGTCGGGTAAATGGTACAGGTTTTGTGGTTGTTAAGAGGACTGTTTCATACTTTGTCACTATAACGTGTTCAGTGTATGACTTCCACGTTACATGGGATTCATCAGTGCAGAGCACTGCCCCCGATCACCGCGGTTAGGGGTAGCACAGGCATGAAGGCGCTTCCTGTTAGGGTTTCTGCAGGTGGTCCGGTAAAGCTGTGGGGCAGAAACGCCTCTTCGTCCCGCCTAGGCCCGGTCTGGA